CTCAGCAAAATGCTTCACAAATTTATTTAGATCCAATGCCTTTGTGCGTTTTGATTTGAGTTTAACTAAACTTGATCATCTCTTTTCTGTCATAGTTGACCGCAAATATGTCTTTATGAGCCTGAGACGTCAGGCCTAACTAACATCATAGTTAGAGAAATAACAATCCAAAACCTGATTTTTATCATCTCAAAATCAGCATTGCAGCTATGCTAGCAACATAGTGCTTTCATTATGATTTAATTTCTCGATAGATAGTTAATCAGTTTTTACCTTTTTCATCCCGTGTCTCCTCTCCCCATCACCCCTGGCTCCCTCGCTTTGCCCCATTTTGTTTTCAAAACTAATCAGTCTCAGTCGCTCTGGCGTCATCTCGTGCTGCATTCACTGCAGTCCGACATTGGAAATTAGCGGTCGTAATTCTTAAATTATCCATTATTTATAAGCCTCGCCACCCCTACCGCCACTGGGGTGGCAGCAGGGGTGGCAAGGCTGTCATTTAGGGTGGCATTTGCCACCCTATGCCACCCCAGTAGATCCGCCTATGGGAGAGACTGAATCACAGTGAATGATTCAGGTCCTGATGATGTCATCCCCAGTGTCCTAAAGGCATGTGCAGAGCAGCTCTGTGGGATTCTACAGCACCTATTAAACCATAAACTGACCCAGGAGACAGTTCCACTGATGTAGAAGACCTGCCTTGCTCCAGTACCAAAGAAGACTCAGCCAACAGTCTTCAATAACTATAGACCTAACTATAGACCTAACATCCAACATCATGAAGGTCCTAAAGAGACTTCTGTTGGTTCACCTCAGCAAACAAACAAGCAGCTATCAGGTCCCCCTGCAGTTTGCTTATCGCTGAGAGTTGGAGTTGAAGATACCATCATACAACTGTTTCAACAAACCCACTATCATTTGGGCAAGGTAGACAGCACTGTGAGGATTATGTTCCCTGATTCCTCTGGTGCATTTAATACAATTCAGCCTGACTTACTTTGTGAGAAAATCCAGAAGACTCAGGTGGAGACATCAACAATCACCTGGATCAAATACTACCTGACAAACAGACCACAGTTTGTTAGACTGAAGGTTCAGCTGTCTACAAAATAACATATTAATGCATAGGAAACACTTTTCCAAATCCATCCACTGTGTTCACCTGATCTTCAAATGGCACTAATTACTCACAGTGGGCAGGGTAGAAATTCAACTCAAGAAGTAGTAGTTAGACTTCACCATAATATCAGGAGGACTTTACATAAAAGCTCAGTGTCCACTTCGGAAGGAAATGTGTTACACTAATGTACTTAGGGATTACCATTTTGTGATGACAATCCATGTCCCCAGAGCCAGTTTAATCTATGGATCATCAGGTCACCAAGTCCCCAACCTCTGACTTCTGCCCAATCCTCTGCACAGTCTCTTATGGTTCCCCTGCAGAGAATGGTCCTGCAGAGAATGGTCCTAAAGAGAATGGTCCTTCAGGGAACGGTCCTACAGGGAATGGTCCTGCAGGGAACGGTCCTGC